AGCTGTGTTGAGCTTTTTAAAAAAATTTCTAAATTAACCTAAAATCTGCAAAATTTGGTTTGTAGCTCTCTATCGTCTTTTTTTAAAATATTTTGTCGAATCCGGAGCAGTTGGCATGTCTCTATATCTGCCCAAAATTAATACTGTCGTTGACTAAATATCAGCATTTTTTAACTACTACAATTCTGCTCTTTATACGGAAAATAAAAAATATTGGTAGTAACAATATTTTTTTTCTTCTATTTAGTATGGATAAACTATTTGTAGTTACCACAACTTTTTAATAAAAACGTTTTAAGAGAATGTTAGAATCAAGAAAAAATAGTGGTAGTCAATAAAGACTACCACTATTTATTTATTTTTTCAGAAAAACAAAAATTAAAACTCAGTTTATAAACTATTATTTACTACAAATTATAAAAGACGAATTTTTGTTTTGGCTGTTAATGATTGTCAATAACAGGACGAATTTATGTCATGTTGACTAATATGTGTTAACTCGTTAACACAATTACATAGAAAAACGAAAATTGTGAAAGTGAGTAATAAAGAAAAATATATAAAAATACATAAAAATTAGCAACTTTTACGTGCATATTTCCTAAAGTCAGGGTTCGTACGCATCTGGAAAATATTAATAACTGGTATCATTTTTGTTATTAAGAAGCTGAGAATTTCTTGCTTCCTCTATCGAAACAAAATTTTACATCTGCCACCTTTGGATCTTTATAGATTTGCTAAGATAATAAAATGTTTTGGTAGCTACACATACAATAATATCGAAAAATTAATATTAATATCACTACTATTCTTTAAATTTTTCCAGATGCGTTTGAACCCTGTTTAGTTGGCCATTAAAAAAACTTTTTTCCCTTTTAATACACAATCACTTTCTTGATGAACAAGACATTTTAGTAACCAAATATTAAACAGGAATATAATAAATAAACCGTAGATGCATATGCATTTTAGCATCTTCCGATTAAAATGTCTTTTTAATTTCGATGTAAATATTCTGTATCGTCCAAGAAAAAAAATGTTTGTAGCAACCGTGTTGGTTGATAAATGAACTAGTGGGGGGGGGGGGGNGGGGGGGGGGGGGGGTATAACCCGTTCTAAATAAAAATCACAGTGATATTTTCGTAAATCGAATCTTGTATAGTACAGCGCGCAAAGAAAAAAAAACTGTCCACACAAAATAACTTTTGATTGAATGGTCGGAATTTCATGCTTCAGGACTGAATCCTCAGGGTCTTGGATCAGGTCACGCCTCAGGATCTTGGGACAAAAAATTATTTTTTAAAACTCCCTTTTTTTTTTAGGAGCTATTCGTCCATTTACATACAAATTTTGTATTTTGCCGTGTAAAATTATATCATTTAAAATTAGGTAAAAAATTGTATACCTTACGAAACAAATTTTTTCGATTATTATTAAATAAAACACTAAAAAACAATAAATATTTACTAAAAATTATTTTTTGCATGAAATTATCTTTAAATAGACGAATTTAATAACTGTGTGAAAAAAAAATTTCAATTTGCTAAAAAAGTTCTGGAGATGAAACGCAATACGCAAAACGTGAAATTAACATTAAAAGGGTTCAAATTTTGAGCCGCTCTCCTGACCAAACTAATACTACCCTATTTCCCAGATAGTTTTCAGACCCTATTTCCCAGATAGTTTTCAGACCCTATTTCCCAGATAGTTTTCAGACCCTATTTCCCAGATAGTTTTCAGACCCTATTTCCCAGATAGTTTTCAGACCCTATTTCCCAGATAGTTTTCAGACCCTATTTCCCAGATAGTTTTCAGACCCTATTTCCCAGATAGTTTTCAGACCCTATTTCCCAGATAGTTTTCAGACCCTATTTCCCAGATAGTTTTCAGACCCTATTTCCCAGATAGTTTTCAGACCCTATTTCCCAGATAGTTTTCAGACCCTATTTCCCAGATAGTTTTCAGACCCTATTTCCCAGATAGTTTTCAGACCCTNTTTAATTTCGATGTAAATATTCTGCATCGTCCAGAAAAATAAAAAATGTTTGTAGCAACCGTGTTGGTTTATAAATGAATTAGTGAGTGGTTGTTTATAGCCGTTCTAAATAAAAATGGTGATATTTTCATAAAGTGAATCTTGTTTAGTGCGCAAAAGAAAAAACGGACCATTCTGCATAACCTTTGATCGAATGGTCACATCTTCATGTTCCAGGACTCAATCTTGGTATCCAAAAAATTGTATTTTTAAAATTCCCTTCCTTTTTTTTAAAGGAACTATTCGTCCATTTACATACAAATTTTGTATTTTGCCGTGTGAAATTATATCATTTAAAATTAGGTAAAAAATTGTATGCCTTACGAAACAAATTTTTTCGACTATTATTAAATAAAATACTAAAAAACAATAAATATATACTAAAAATTATCTTTTGCATGAAATTATCTTTAAATAGACGTATTTTATAACTGTGTGAAAAAAAATTTCAATTTGCTAAAAAAGTTCTGGAGATAAAGCGCAATACGCAAAACGTGAAATTAACATTAAGGGGGTTCAAATTTTGAGCAGCTCTCCTGACCAAACTAATAGGACCCTATTTCCCAGAAAGTAAAAAGGTATGTTTATTCAGAGAAAGTACGTTTTTGTATATAATTTTGCACCTTAAAATAACGCCTGCACTAATTAATTAACAAGTTTAAACCAATAAGATTGAGTCCCAGAAAGTGAGATCTGATCATTAAATTAAAAGAATAATCAGTTTTTTTTATTTTGCACTTTGTACACATAGTATTTTGGAAATAAAATTAAACAGAGCCAGGCACAGATTTTGTTGAAGCATTATTTGGCGATAAAAATTACATTTGACACATAAGTTTAAATAATGTTTTAATTTAATTTTTTCTCAGCTTTCTCTTTTGAATTTGTTTTAAAACCGTCGTTGACCCAATTTTTGGTTTTACGACTATTAATGTTCAACTCCGTAGCTAATTTTGAACCCAATCCAGAAGACAAGGGAACTCCTGGACCAAGTATTGATTGAAATTTGATTTCATGGGGGAATTTTTTGATGGGACAAACCCACATTTGCTTTACATGGAGAGGAAAACCTCGAAAAGCTCCCACGGTTACCCTGACGGCAAAGGGACTCTAACGCATGATCCGTCTACACTGAGGATATTTTACGTCAGCACTGTGGTAGGTGTGACCCGGGTGGGGAATTCGAATTAACCATCCATTGCCGGGATTCGAACCCGGTTCACCTCATTGGGAGGCGAGAGATCTATCCCCTGACCACCACGGTTCTCAAATCAGAACATTGAAGAAAAAAAAATTCTCCTTGAATTTCCAGAACAAAGTTGAAAATAGTTTCCGTTATCCATTACAAGTTATCACAGCTTTGGCCTACATAGAAGTTCTTGATAACGACTGAATGATAACAAATGTTAGACAATTGATTTTATCAGACATTGTTACTGTAAGGCATTTTAAATTCGAAACTGACTTCTTTTCTTAACTGTTTTCGAACTTTTTCCAGTAACAGAATCATTTCTGGTAAATGATATTCCCCTTCGATAAAATTATTTCAGGAAATAGAAATAGTTGGAAAAATTAACCCTTTATCCGCCGAAGTCAGTTTTTAAAAAAAGTGGCAACATGTTTGTGGTTAAATTGAGGATATATCTAATATTTATTTAACTACCAGTTCGGTTAAAAGATATAAAAACAGCATGTTTTCAGAATCAAACACAGATATCAAAACCAGTAATATATTTTAGTAAATGCGAATGTGTGGCTCATTCAAAATATATATTAACACTGAAATAATAGAGTTATCAGTCGTTATTATCTAGAAAAAAAAAAGAACGCATTCCAAAAAATAGAACAAAAGCGTTTAACCTCTAACACATGATTTGGGAAATCAATGTGGAAGCGTGGAGTGCCCCTTCGAAGCCCAGGGCTGAGTTGCCCGGGTTCGAATCCCAGAGATGGCTGGTCGGTAGTAATTCCACATTCGGGTTCCATCGACCACAGTGCTGACGTAAAATATTCCCAGTAATTGACGGATGATGGGTTACAGTCCCCTTGCCATCAGGCTATCTGTGTGAGGTTTTCGTGGTTTTCCTCCCCACAGGGTTTCAGCGAGCCTTGAAAATTTTAAGAAGCGGTGACTAAAATAAAACAAATTTTGATAATTTAACTTTTGTGTAGCCACCACTAAAAATTGTTCTCCAAAGAAAGTATGTATGCATGAAAATTCCAGCTCTTAACGATGAACTGGTATATTAAAATAAAAAATATATTCTAGCATTACCCTAAATTTACTACCACTTTTAAAATTTTTCAAGAACTGCGGGAACCCTGTGTCCATGTAACTTATATGCGAGTTAGTTCTATCAAAAAGTCCTAAACGATGGAAAATTTCTTCCAAAACTTGATCAAAGATTTCTTTTTCCTTCTGGAATTCAAAATTCAAAATTACAAAGCTAAGGAGTTACACATGGTAGTCGTAAACTACAATAAGTTATCAATAACAGTTTTTTTTTATTAAAAAAAAATTTATAAGGAAGGTTTATGCAGTAATTCGGGTAATAGGTTAAAATAATGTAATGAAAATTTATGCTATAGTTGAGATCAGACTATTTAATATTCATTTAAAAGATACTTTTCATAAAGAATGTATTCTATAATGCACAGTAAAATAGCAGTAATCTGTTATATTAAGATAAACTTAAAAGATCCATAGAACGAAATACTATTTTAAGAGCAATACGAAGCCATTTAAGGATTGTAAGTATGATATAAAAACCGTTACAATAGAATTCAAGGTAGAAGAATACATTTGATTGCGTCATTATCTTAGAGATCTAGACATAACAAAACGATTCCAATGACAAATGATTACTTTTTTTATTTTTTACTTTTCTTAAACAAATGCTATACTTTTGCATTATTGCAATAGACGTAAATTTTTCATTGCACTATAAAATACATCTTTTTTTAGAGCACTTTTGTTGGCAACAAGTTGGACAATCGTGACGTCGGACTACAATGAAGAGATTTGCAAAGTCATTAAAGAAAGTTATGGTGAGTATTCTAAGTTGTGAAAAAAATACACAAAAACTGACCGACAGAACATGTCGTAAATTAACAAGAGTTAGAAGCTTTACAGTTTTCTTCAGAGGCAAACAAGAATAATATATATATATATATA